TCTACCATTAAACTCCATTTGCTATATTTAATTTTAATATATTTTAAAAAAATTATTTGTCCCCACCATCACAAATAATTCGTACATATCTACAGGAATCCTTAATATTTTATCCTTCAACCATTTTTTACGCTCTATTTTTTTATTTCTTTAAAATAAAACATGATAAGAAGGGCCACAGCATGAAGAAAAGCATCAAATTGGAAATAGATTTAAAATACAGCTAATTATTTTAAAAAAGAAAGGGACTATTTAACTTAGATTTCAAATCTAGGAGGTACGAATATATAATTTACTCTGCGAACAATCTGTTAAGGTTAGAAGTCTGCTTTTAGACAAGTCTTGAAAAGCCCAACCGGCAAGCAAATCCCAGTAGCATCTACAGGCTGCTTGCTTCACGAGTTGTTTTTAGTACCAAAACCTAAAACTGAAGCCCAATGAAACTCGTTGTCAAAGGCAGCTCTCATTTTTAACACCACCAACAACAACAATAATGCCCAAAGTCCACATAGATGTTCTGTTCTCTCTCTTGCATCTTCTTCCTTCAACATCCAACGGAGCACCATTTCCAGACAACATAAATTTCAAATTTTGGCACTCCTGAAAACCAAAAATCAAGTCTTCATCTGGATTTTGAAAGACTATAAAACCCAATCACATCCCATCTCCATTATTTGATCTATAAAGTCTAATCTTCAGGTTGAATTGAAGCCAAAGTATGCAGAAATCAGGAAAGTCGGTAATGGCATGGAACGTGTTCAAGTTTTGTACAGCACTGCGTGCTCTTGGTTCCATCATGATAGTATTAGTGCTTGGCATAATTGGGGTTACATATTATGTTATTGTTGTAGCTAATTATGGTCCAGCTCTTTTTCGTGGTGGCTTGGATTCTTTTGTCGCTTTTCTTATCTTGGTTTTGTTCCATTCCTTGGTAAGTTCCACTGTCCTTTCATTTTTTTTAAAAAGGTTTTGATGTTTTGTTTTGTCACTGTTGATGTTTTATGGTTGTTGTGTTTTGTATTGCATGCAAAGGCTGAATTCCTAGGCTAATACTAGAAATGATAACCCTGCTTTGGATTGTAAGCAACCAATGCACAGATTGAGCCGGTGTTAAGAATGTTTATCATATACGAAGGAATTTTTTACATGGATTTCAAAGAGGGATTCTTTATTGCGATATTTATTTCAGGTTTTAGATGTTAGCTAGCAACATTTACCATTGTGACTGAAAACAGCTTTTTAGCAGCCACACAAATACATGTCTAGCATCGTCATATCAGTTTATATGCAATTTGGGTTTTGGCTGTTATAGATTCAATTTCGGTTAGCTCGCATGCAATTCATTTCGGTTAGCTCGTTTTGCTGAAAGAAGTAATATCTGAACTCAGTTTCCTCTAGTTCTTACTGACCAAACAAAGGACTTCCATGTTGGTTCCTTGATCTTCTCAAGTTTTTATACATCGGCTAGGATTGACCTTAAATTCAATATCTCCTGTATTTTTTTAACAAACAGCTTGCTAATGCTCGTTAACTGGCTTATTACTATTGAGAACAATTTAGGAGATGTATTGGATTATTGAGTTGTGGGACTTTGGAGAATTGTCTTTCTCTCCCATGTATAGCATCATATATGGAAGGAAACTGATGAGCACAATACCTTCACTTAACCACCCACCGAGTTGTGGCAGGCTGCCACAGGCTTCCATGTTTGCTGGATAACATCCGTGCACAGTGAATGGCTGCCAAGCCAGCTACCAATCTAAGTGGGTGGGATAATGTTGGTGAACTTATTCTGTGAACATAGTAGTGGTCCTCTATCTAAAATTGAGTTTGTCCAATAACTGTACAATGAACTCTATAATACTGAATTTCTATTAGTGGGATTTGGTTATGTAGCTGGTGATGCTATTATGGAGCTACTTCACTACTGTTCTAACTGATCCTGGTGGTGTCCCGCCAAATTGGAGGCCATCAATAGACGAGGAGAGTGGTGATGCTGATCCGTTGGTGGGATTAGGATATGAAGGCATGGATTTAGGTTTAAATCAACTGGCTACATTCGGTGAGCCAGCTAATCCACAACTACGAGTCTGTCGAAAATGCAACCAGTTTAAACCTCCCCGTTGCCATCACTGTTCTGTTTGTGAGTTTTTCTTCTTTGGGTCTACATGGTTTTCTTTTCTAGAAGCCTAGCTGCTGTTTAATCTCAACAAAAGGTAGCTTCATTTGTTAATTGTTTCAGGTGGAAGGTGTATATTGAAAATGGACCATCATTGCGTATGGGTCGTGAATTGTGTTGGGGCATTGAACTACAAGTATTTCCTTCTTTTCTTGGTATGTTAACTATCATAAGAAACTTGGGTATATTGATGCACATTCCTGAGCGGGAATGCAGATTATTTATCTCAGTGAATGGAATTATCATTGTGTACAGCTAATTCATGGTTTACCAATTTTGAAATCAACTTTCTGTATGCATAAAACATAAATTAACATCTGCGAAATGTTTTATATGCATATAACATTATCTAGACTCATCAAATCTTTTTACTCAACTTACAATAAGATACAATTGCCTTTGATGGTATCAATCGTATGCCTATATCTTCACAGCATGCATGTACGTCCTAAAGTATCACAAAAATGTTTGTGAGATAGATTCCTTGACTATAAAGAAATTGATCGTTGGCATGGTGAAAGATGGAGTTTGTACAGATAAATGTAAATTCTTGTGGCACCTGGAAGGTGTGTGTTGCTTTTGGAAGCTGTATTAGAAGCTAAATAATCTTACTTGTTCCAAATCACATTATTATGTCATAATAGTTTTAAACTTCTGATTCCATGTAAAAGCTGCTGCTTCATCTTCCCTCACCTTCCTAAATAAATTACCTGACTTCCTCTCTCTCTCTCTCTCTCTCTGACCATTGATTATATGATGTCCTCACCATTAATGAACTCTTGTTTCTCTTTTTTCATTTTGTCCTCCATTCTGTGGGTTGCAAGGCTCACAGCTTCAAGCACCAACAGGGGAAATAACTTTCTATTCCATAAATAACTGCAAATTCAAGACTTTATTTCATACCTTTGCTGTTCTGTGAGACATATGCTTGAGATAGTGTTCTTTAATAGGTTCTTGCAAGTACTCTAAATTATCTACAGATGGCTGGTGCAAATAGCCATTGAAATACATCTAAAGCACTGGTCATTCTTGCCATTTGTGCACACCTGTAACCCCTCCTCTGTTTTCTCTATTGTGGAATATCGACATGCATTGATTGCTAATAAATTATAACATCCTCTCTTTATTAAAATTTTTAATCGTATCATGCTATAAATATATCCTCTTCTCTAAAACAAACTCCCAATCTAGTTTTTGTTGCTTGTTTCTTATGCAGTTTTACACATTTCTCTTGACAACTCTTGTCACTTTATCCTTATTGAGGCTGTTTATAGCATTTTTCACTGATGGTGTAATAAATGGAACACCGGGAACCCTTGTTGCCACTTTTGTCACATTTGGTAAGTTGGAGGGAAATCTGTCTGTTTTGTCCATTTTCATTTCTTGTCCGTGTCCTTTTCTTTTTTTCTTACTTTTATCATTTGATTATTTCAGTTTTGAACTTATCATTTGCATTGAGTATTATGGGCTTCCGGGTTATGCACATATCGTTGGTATTAGGCAATACCACCACCATTGAGGTGATGCCTTTTGCTATGTTTGCTTCTTTTCTTTCCTCACATGTTACATGGGTTTTCATCTGGTGCCGCGATTAAAAGTTTATTTTCTTACTTTCAGGCATTCGAGAAGAAAACCAATCCTAAATGGCGTTATGACCTTGGTCGAAGGAAAAACTTTGAACAGGTTATTTTTGGTCCTTCCCGTTAATCTTTATCTAATCACTGTGTATGTGTGCTTGCTTCTTCATCATTTCTTTTACCTTTCAATTTATAACCATTTCATTGTATAATGAGGTTTTACACTGCACTTGCACTGCTAGAGCTGAAAAAAACCTGCGCTAGTTGCTTGCATATTTTTGAACTTTCACGAAGTAATTCCAAACCTGCAAGGACCATACTGTTCCTTGAAATTGAGGTTTGGATCGCAACATGGTATACACTTTGTGTTCCCATTACACATTTCCATAATCAGTTCCACTCTCCATCATAATTGATGATTTGATTCCTTACATGGAAAACGGCTTGTTCATCATGTCCCCATATGGACTGACATTCATCTCAGCCCGTGTTCTTATTTTGTTGAGTTTACCTTTCACTCGGGAAATTATTAGATTAGTATCTGTTATTGCAATTGGGATGACATTGACATTTCCGAAGCTGCTGGCACTTGCATGTCAAACTGCACATAGAAGCAGGTTGCACTAATGTAAGATTCAAACTTGGAAGGTTCCATGCTTTACACGGTTCTAAAGCTTCCTCATTACTGGCTTTCCATACCATATGATAACAGTTGAGAAACAAAGAGTTATTTGAGTCTGCCCCTGAATAGACTCTTGGTATTCAGATCATGTTTGCTATGATTTGTCACGGTACTTGAAATGTAGAATAGAAAAGCTTATCATAATGGCGAGTTATTGTTTTCTATGCCAGGTGTTTGGGTTGGATAAGAGATGCTGGTTCATCCCTGCTTATTCAGAAGAGGATTTGGAACGCATGCCAGTGCTTCGAGGTTTTGAATATCCAACAAGACCCGATTTGGATGGGCTCCAGCAGCACTAATGGCATCTATCAGTTTGAAGGGCATCAATCGTCGTTGAGTGCTTTGACAATCTTAAAAAAAGGCTTATTCAAAGCGGATCTGGGCGAGGAAGAAGATATAGGTATATTCGTGTAGAGGTGCGTCAATTTTGAAAAATACGTAGTGCTTGGAAGGTGTCTGTGTGCGGTTAACAACGTTGTACTCTGGACTAGCCAGTCGAAAAAATAACATAAGACTATTTTGGACTGCAATAAATTCTCTTGTTTTCCAATGCTAAAATTATTTACAAGCCCTTTTCTCTATTACCAACACTAAATGCCAGTTTCGTTCCGGGCCAGGCCTGCAACTGTACCCCCATCCCTCTAATCCCCCCCTCCAAAAAGAAAAACAAATACGAGAAAGCATTGAGGAAACCTGAAAAAGTTTCACGCATGCCTTTAGAAGAGACGACAATTAACCATTTTAAGAACGGATTGATGGTACCTAATCGTCTCATAAAAATGCAGTTCCCGAGAGAGAGAGAGAGAGAGAGAGGCGGGTACTCGCATGGAACCTAGATCAATTTTACCGAGAAGAGGTCAATTAGCTCAATACAAATGATATACAAGGCTGGACCAGAAAGAAGAGAAGCCACGTCAAATTTTGAGGGAAACCTAAAAAGACTGTTGCGGTCGATATATACAACCAAGAAATAAAGAGAGTGTATTCGGGAGGGGCCAACTACCACATCTGGCACTTCTGTTCTAGAAAGGGCGGCCGGTCGATATATACAACCAAGAAATAAAGAGTGTATTCGGGGAGGGCGGCAGTTAAGGAAAAGAGAAACAGAGCACGGAACCTCAGCCTCCATAAGACTACCGATTTTGAGAATCATGGCAACTCCGCCTAAGGTTACACACCATCGGATGATACAACATGCCTAGGGTTACACCATCGGATGACACAACATGCGCGACAGCATAACCTGGACACGCACAAACAACAATTGACACAACATGCGCGACAGCATAACCTGTGCAACACGCACAAACAATTGAATCGAAATCCAGGACCAGCAACACCTTTATGCATTCAAAAAATAAAAGCACTTGTGAAAACCATATTGCAGTTTCAATCATCATAACAGGCTTTCCTAAAGGATGGCATTCTCCGTCGAGTAAGATTTAATTTTTTTCAGTGCCATAGTGCAACATAGCAAATCAAAGCGAAATGGGGCAATTACCATATTTCAACGAGATAATGTAGTAATAGCAAGGCAGCATTGCATATGGCATCAAACAAGCTTGTGCCAATAAGAAGTTATCCTTCCTACTATTGACATTCAGTAAATGCGGGTTAGATGAGACCACTGCAGAAAGCTGGCTGCATTGAGGAGAAAATGTACAACAATCCTGACCCTGTATTCTCATTTTTTGTGTAATGACTAAAGGCAATTGCAACTACACCATTTACAACGATTAATCTGGATAACTGCAACTGTATACTCCCTTTCAGCTCCTTTTAAGCAAAAATCAAGCCAGGTACTTAAACATGTTTGGGTTTTCCTTGTCTCTTTCTAAATAATCTCGGGAGATCAGATCTTCTATCCGCTTCTTGATAGCTTTAATGTCAGGCTGCATATTACAATCCATCGGTTATCATACAAGGATATGTAGATTACATAAAAGAAAGGTCTTCTAATATTGAGGATACCCCTCGATATCTTTTTATTGACAGCAGCAATGCTACTAGCCTCCTAATCCTCACTCAGTGAGATTTAGGTGGATTTTTCAAAAAAGGCTAACTACGCATATTCAGAAAGAAGTATCATAGCAGAGTAGAAAAACTCATGTTCTATCTACAGGTATCATGCTTGCAAATGTCAGGGTTCTATTAATTCATAAGAGCATCCGCTCTATCTAAGAACCAGAAAGTAAGATTTTCTTGAAAGCTATCCCCTCACTGGACCAACAGGGCTATAGCATTTTCTAATCTTGATACGAGTCATAAAATTAAACACAGGCCCCAGATCCTCCCATTATATTTGTCAGCTTCTCTAAACTTCGTCTGATAAATTTGAAGGGAAGTGTATGCCATACCTTGAACATGAGATTCAACTGCTCAACACACTCCAAGACAAGCTGTTGATGACCCAACACTTTCCGACTCTTCATGATGCGCACAATTGCAGCATCAATAGCATACCGTCTGTCTTTGTCGACATCTTCAACAACCTTCTTTCTTTCATCAACAAGTGGAAGAGGAACCTAAGTTGCACCATTTCAAGTATTTAATATCCAGAGTATATACCCCAACCCCAAATGTGAAAAGGCAATAGTGTCAGTGACCTATTTCACAGGCAGTTGGTAGTAAAACATCAAAATATAATTGACAGTAGAGAGTCTTAAGAGACTGCCATACTTTGATCCTCCTCATCCTATCATTGAACTTGTGATTGAACTCAAAGTAATCATTTTGGATAACAGTCTTTGTGTTTGGCTCCTTGCTAAGGATTTTATACTTGCCACATGACAGGGAATGAAGCAATCTAGGCAAGTCATCATCACTCAAGTTTGACTGGGTCATAATCTCTGAGTAACTGAGTTTGTCTGAAGTATTAAAAAGCATCAGGAGACAAGCCTGTAGAAGATAGACAGGAATCAAATAATCAGAACCAAAAATCTCAATCCAATAATGATGGAAAAATATATGCAAATCATCCCTCCACTATCCTACGAAGGTAGGTTTGATACTGTACCTGGTAGGTCGTCACAACCAGCTCAATAGTTTTCTGGTCAAACTTGGCATTAATGTGGCAAGATCCCAAAGAGTAAATCCATGTTAGTTTTCTGTGCTTGCTCTTCAGGTCATAGAACTCCTTGAAAACTTCCACTCCCCTAGCCTGAAACAAAAGGTTCCAAAATGTTCATTTTGAAGAAAAAGGACAAGAAATTCTGTTTTTGATTCTCTGCCAGATTACCATTACGTCACAAATACAGAAAAAACCCTACTGTCTAATATGCAAATGTAAATCCTTACCATTTCTGCAGGTAGGTTGATATCAGAGGATTTATATGTTGGCCAGTACCCAGTTGTGAGAACATTTACTTGCAAATCAATCCCCGGACGTGTGGATGGGTTATTGGCAAGATACTCATCAAAGCTTGACTGATGTTCCTTTGCCAATTGCAAATCTGTGACCTGGAAAAGAAACACAAAAGAGACAATTTATCACCACAGTTACATGGACACATTGACAAACATTATACCAGTGCCCCCAGCTCACCATTCCTTCCATCTTTGAGGTAAATTGTCCACCACATTGCTGCTTCAATTTTGACAGTATACTCCTTTCATGTTCATCGTTAGCACTCCGATCAAAAAGAAGTCGACGGGCAAGTTTTTTCCTGGAGAAAGAAAAAAAAAAGGGAATATAAATCAAGTATACTAATGACTGAATAAGAAATGGTACAAACAACAAACATATGAAATGAATGGCAGAGATCAGTCCTACCTATAAAATTCAGCAAAAAGGTCCTTGTCACTAATAAATGCAAGCAGCTTAACCACCTAGAGAAATCCACCACAATTCAAAGCCATAATCAGTAATAGGTCTCAATATATCACCCCGAGAAATCCATCAGACTCCAATGATTTGCAAATTAATTAAAATCCTTTGCAAGGTCACCTTCTCCAATGTTTCTTCAATGGCTTCGTCACTTAGTTTCTCACTTCCACCCTTTCGGAGGATAGTGTCACAAAAGGTTGCCAGTAGTTCAGCACTTGAGCTCCCAGCAACTGTTTTATTGCAAAAGATCTCAAAAGCCTCTTTCATGGCCTATTTAACAACCCAAAAAGGAGAGCAAACATGTTAGACAAAATGACAAAACAAAACTTGAAGAGCCGGAATATGTTGTCTGCCACCAACCTTGTGAAACAATGTGTGGTTTTGAAAACAAGCAGTCACATAAGTCATGTATTTATCATGCAGCTCAATTATCTTTCGAATGAGAACCTGAAATCAATCCATCAAGTCAATTATTTGACCTTCCCAATTATCAATAGGTATCTAAAGCATAGAAGGCAAAAGATTTACTTGTTCCTGAACACCACCATTTGCAGCCTGTGGAAGCAAAAACCACCTTTAGCACCACAATTAACAATTGAAAAAAAGATACATCTAACTTATATATATATTGAATCTGAAGTTGCATTATTAAAAAATAGCTGTGGAAATATGGAGTCAGCATTACAACCTCAAGAGTAACAGCTCTAAATGTTTTCCCGTATAACCATAAAAAAGAGTCAGCAGAAATGTAAAAGACACACTATCATAACTACAAGACTAGTGTTGTCCTCCCCCAACTACTATAGTGCTTATAAGAATGGTCAAAATCACATGAAAAATGCAAAAACTCTTGGTGAACACACATAATATAATTTTAACACATGTAGCAAGCAACTAAAATGATGCTAGAATGCCAATTTAGATCAAGCAATGCAAAGAATAAAATCACGGCAACAAACCTGGCTACTCGCAGCGTCTTCTGCCTGCTGGATCAAGGCTGTTCCTTCAGCAGTAATATGCTATCCAAAGCACAAAAAGAGGGTAGGTTGTTGAGAATTGTGGGAAGGATCAGTAATAAAAAAAAATACATGATAAAAGGGCTCTTTTGGTAGCAAAATAACAAAAACAAAGGATGCCAACCAACCTGCTTGAATACATTAGAAACAGGTTCCAAGCCATGGGTAACCTTATGATAAAGCCTAAACATCCTGGATAGATCTTCCACCTGACAAGGTGTAACCGGGAATATATTATTATTTGCAGTATATGACACAACGACCAGTAAGAATCAGGACTTGAAGCAACGCCAAACCAACATTTACCTTGTCATCTCTGAGCAATGCACGAACTCCAGAATGTTCCTTCTCTAGCAGTTGATTTGCATTGACCACCAATAACTCATGTTGCACTTTCTACATAACATGTCACTATTTATTAGTCTACAATCTATTCATAAAAAAAAAACCCAAGACAGTAAGGTCATGGCATCCAAGTAAAAGGAATAATAACAAGATTCCTTGTCCTCCCCAAGTGTGCTAAACAGCAAATACAGGGACAGGGAACAAGATGAGATAAATTTTTATTTTATAGCTTCCTTTAACAGTTTAGTTAGCTGATTACCATTAGGCAGAGACACAGCATGTAATCAAAACAAAACTATGTATGTGCATAACACATGGTATATGTGAGAACAGGTATGATAAATGAGCAAATACATATTTTTCAGCACAGAAAAGGAAGAAACCAATAATCTTGTGCATGTGATATGTAGCCAACTAACCTCCACTAATTTTATCTCACTGCTTGAATGCAAGTAGTGAGAAACTCTATCTCTCTCTCTCTTCAAGCATTCCTCAGCCTGCAAGTCCACAAACAGTGTTTAGGATAAAAAATGTTAATCATAAAACAACTAGGAAGACCCATGCAAATAAATTCTTGCCTTTATCATGTAATCTGGACAAGAATCCTCTCGGATCCAGTTTGCTGCTTTAACAGAATAGTAAGCACCAGTACCTTGAAGCATGTGTGCTTCAAAATCATCTGCATAATGATCCATTTGTGACATTCCAATCTCAACGTATATATCTAAAACATTCTTTAGCAGTGCTCTGTCTATCTGTTCCCCATCACGTTCTTTACCAATCTGGCCAACATACAATAATTTCAACTTTGTTATTAGGAGGAATTGAATCTCACTGCCTAAAGAAGCAAAAAAGTTCAAGTAACTTACCACATCAAGCACAGCATCCTTGGCTTGACTATGCACTTCCTGATAAACCTGAAAAAATGAAAATTGATAACAAAATCATTTAAATTATCTCTGAAACAGGAAAATGAGTAATCCAAATGATGGTTAGAGAAAATGAAGCAGTCAAAGGAATTAGCAAACCAGATCACGGAAGCAAGTCAGTCCAACTTCATTAAGTGGTGGAAGTGACCTCCGAGCAATGAAGTAACGGTCAAGATAATTGAAGAAGCGTGACAACCACCTAACCATAATTTTATGATTAACCCATCTTTTTACAAGCTCCCTCAGCATAAACTCATCATGTTTCTCCCTTATTGACGGTAATACCTGATAAGGAAAACATAACTATGAATGTTAAACAGTAAAAAAGGCCAAAAAGTTGAATTATTCATTAGGATAAGCCAAACAAACTGGCCATTGATAAAACGATACTGCTGAAACTTCTTTAATAGATAAAACTAAAACCCAGGGATACACTGCAAGAACAAACCACCCATACCCCACCCTCAATTTACAAGATCATTGAACTGAAGAGAGTTTTATATTGCAGTGATAGATGCAACATGGCATAACAAAATAACTCATTGTACACTGCACCAAACAGCTGTTGATTTAGAACTAACATCACCAGA